AGTAGAAAAGAACGTTTATAGTCAGACAGTTACGTTTTGGTACTAATATTTGATTTTTAATTTTAAAAGTAGAACAAGACTTTGTTAGCCAAACGAAAATTACACTTTTGAGTAGAAAAATCAATTTACAGTCAGATGTGAAAGTTGTTATTTTGCTATTAAATTTTCTATTTTAATTAGAACAAGTTTTTGTCAGTAAGAAAAAATCTACAAATGTTAGTAGAAAAGAACGTTTATAGTCAGACATAAAAGTTTTAATTTTACTATTAAATTTTCCATTTTAAGTAAAAGTTTTTATTTTGCTATTTAATTTACCACTTTAAGTAGAACAAGTTTTCGTTAGTAAGACAAAAATAACACTTTTCAGTAGAAAAATATGTTTATAGTCAGACGCAGAAGGTTATTATTTTGCTGTTCTTGCTATTATAAGTAAAAATCTACTAAATTAAAAATAGATTAATAAATGATTAGTATAGTGTCAGTGACAATTAATATTTCTTATCAGCTCTTTTTCCGTTTTTCTTTTTTTAGTTTTCGGGTAAGAAAATATTCGCTAAAACTGTTTTTTTGAAATATTCAGCAAGTTTTATCCACGTTGATACAGTTTTATAAAGTTCTTAGAGTGCATCACAAGACACGTGGCTGAGGTTGCTGTGAGGTAATAACATAGCAGTGTTTGCTTGATAAATAGTTTCGGTTAAAGTTAGCGGTTTACGAGGACATCATAGCTATTGTTTAACAATGCCTTGGTTCTAGGTACATGCCTGTATATTTAAGTCTACCAGCATTGTGTGCATGGCTACATTGCTGAATAGTCAGACCATTGTTGGATTCAAAATATTTCAAATATCTTGAAAGTTAACTTTATAATTTACTTTTTTCCTCAAATAATATATTACCCTTTTAAAAATTTGTCATTTCTTAAAAGTAAATTTTGTTTAAAATTATAATTTACTGACTATAATTTCAAATATTTTCTGATTATTTCAGTTTATTTATTGTTACAATTATTATTTGTTAATAATAATTATAACAAAATAATAATCAAATTGTAGTTAAAATCTAATAATTTTAACTTTTAAGTTTTAGCAATTGAAATTGTAAATAATATTTAAAAACAACTGATGTTCTGTAGAAAAATTGTTAACAATTAAAATTATTAATTAATAAAAAAATAAAACAATACTTTTATCTTTTCTGAAAAATATTTTTCGAAAATATGAAAAAGAATTTTTCGTTTCATTGTTGCAGTTAACGAAACGAATATTAACAAAAATAATGAATATCGTGTAAAGTTTAAAACAAGAGTAAAAATCTCCATTCATTAGAATGAACAAAATGAAATATTGAATATTGTTTTCGCTAATATATAACAATAGAAAAATTTTCCATTGATAACACTTTTTTTTCACAAACAGAATTCGTTCAATCTTTTTTCTTTATGAAAACCATTATTTGTTTTTATATAAAAAAATTGATGGTTTTATTTTTAAAAAAATGATATTTTTATATAAAAAAAAATTAATAGTTTTATCTAAAAAAAATTAATAGTTTTAAATAAAAAGTTGATAGTTTTATATTAAAAAATTAATAGTTTTACATGAATAAAATAAATTGTTTACGATAAAAAAATTAATATAGTTTTATATAAAATAATCAAAAGTTTTATGTACTTTATTTTGAGCAGAGAAAATAATATTGATAATATAGTAATAATAATGAATAAGAGAAATTTTTTTGTCCTTTCTTTTTCTTTTGCGCCTGTCGCGACATTCTGGTCGTTAAATTAAATTCCAAGTTACAGATATAGTAAACTAGTTAATGGAGCTATCAAATCATGGGGGCGAGTGTACAGGAGAGAGAGAGAGAGAGAGAGAGAAAGCAGGCTGACAGTCAAAGTGTCCAGCACGTTCCGCCAATCACCACTCACTAACTCTTGAGTCTGGCAACAACTTTGCGTCGTTAGTAATAAAACACAATAAAGCACTATACCATATAGACGAAATTACTTCACTTCCTTTTTCCTCGAGATTTTACAAATTGATATATTTTCTGGCATTTAAAGAGAGACATTTCTTTTTATTGCCACATAGACGGCGCTGGATTTCAAATTTTTTTCCAATTGATTGAAAAGTAAATTTATTCATAAAAAGAAGTATAGTGAAACCGATGGAAATGAGTAGATAAAGAAGTTTATGAACAGACGAGATTTAATTGATTAGTTGAAAGTCAAATTTAGTCCAAATAAACTACTCTCCAAGTTATAAACGATTAATAAAAGTTTGAAAACTAGTTTTAAGTAGAAAAATATATTTTGTCAGTCGAAAAAAATTATAAGTAGATAAATTTACTTATAGTCAGACAATATATCGGTTTTTAGATAATAAACAAATTTAATTTTTTTTAACACTAAAAAGTAAGTTAAAAAACGTATTTATCAAAAAATTGCATTTTAAGTAGAACATGCCTTTCTTAGTCAGACGAAAATTACACTTTTGAGTAGAAAAATCTGTTTATAGTCAGACGATTCAGTTTCATACTATTTTTTGATTTTAAATTTTAAGTACAAAAGGACTTGTTAGTCAGACGAAAATTACACTTTTGAGTAGAAGAAACTATGTATCGTCAGACGTAAAAGTTTTAATTTTGCTATTCAATTTTCCATCTTAAGCAGAACAAGGAAATACAGACAAAATCTAAGCATCTGAGTAGAAAAGAACGTTTATAGTCAGACAGTTAGGGTTTTTAGGTAATAAACAAATTTAATTTTTTTTAGACTTAAAAGTAAGTAAAAATATATTTATCAAAAAATTGCATTTTATGTAGAAAATGCCTTTCTCAGTCAGACGAAAATCGCACTTTTGAGTAGAAAAACTGTATATAGTCAGACGTAAAAGTTTTTATTTTGCTATTCAATTTTTCATTTTAAGTAGAACAAGTTTTTGTCATTTAGAAAAAATCTACAAATTTTAGTAGAAAAGAACGTTTATATTCAGACGAAAATTACACTTTTAAGTAGAAAAAACTGTTTATCGTCAGACCTAAAAGTAAATTATTTTTCTATTCAATTTTCCATTTTAAGTAGAACAAGGTTTTGTTAGTCAGACAAAACTACAAATTTCAGTAGAATAAGCTGTTTATAGTCAGACAGTTCATTTTGATACTATTATTGGATTTTTAATTTTGAGTAGAACAAAACTTTGTTAGTGAGACGAAAGCTACAATTTTGAGAAGAAATTAATAATTTATATCACTAATTAAGTAAAAAAATAATCATTAATTATTTATTTATTTATTTATTTATTTATAATCATTAATTATTAGTAATCAGGTAACTAAGTAGTTGATAATAAAAACTAATCAGTCAATAAATTATTGGATTAACCACAATACTAAACAGTTAATAATAATTATAAATCGTTTATGATCATATCAAGTATTTTTCAGTTTTTTCAAAGTTAAAAATAGAAAAAAAAAGAATTATAAAATGTGAAAGAAATCACATGAATGGGGAATGATAGTGAAATAAACGGAAGTAGCTCGATGTAGAATTGCCGTTAAAATATCGTAAAGCTTCGCAAGCTCGTCGTGCAGTTATCGGGCTTTTACCAGGGCTACCTCGACTATTACAGAGGAGGGAAACGATGAATGCTAATGAAATTTCCAGCATCGATAACGCGGATACAGCGTGTCGCTATAGAAAATAATATCACGCGTCAAAACCACAGGTGAAAAAGCAAAGAACTAATTTTTTGCAAAAAAAAAAATAATAAATTTTTTTTTAACTTGAAAACTTTTCTTATATGTGATAGGGTAAACAAAATTTTTTTTGTTAATAACCAAAATATTAATTTATAAACGAATCATTGACTGAATCTCTTCGTTTTTATTTCTTAATTGTAATTTAAATTTTAAAAAAGTAAATAATCAGAAAAATAGAAATTAAAAAGAGAAAAAAAAACTTAGCAGACATATTAAAGGCGTGAAAATCCCTTTTTTAGAAGGTGAAGTTGAAACTGCGAAAATTTTTTAAGGGAAAAAGTTCTCCTACTCCGCTATAACAAAAGAATTGTTTGAGAGGCGTTCACCTCACTCGTGCGCTTATATTCACACAGAATGAAAAGTTTTCTCTCCCCCCAAAAATTCCCTAAAAGTTAATGAATGCGAGTCGCGCGCGCATAAACTTTGGGGCATTTCTAAAATTACATCGTGCTTGCCTGCCTATTAAACTAATACTCAATGTCACTCACCTGCCACTAACTAACCTGCCATTCTCTCTTTATGTGTTTCTGTGTCCGTGTATTGCCTGTCGGAATACACAGCTACAGCAGGGAATTATTATCGTTTCTTGTAAAATGATGGTTTAATCAAGACTCACGACGTGCTAGTGAGAGGTTGATAATCGACCTGATAATTATCAAATAACGTTTTACTCTCCCGATGACGTAAATTGTTTTCAAATGCGCCTTGATATTAAACTCTCGATCAAAAAGTATGGAGTGTGAAAAAAAACCAATTTTTTTTTACTCTACTTATTAAAAGTTATTCAATATTCACTCACAGATTTTCATGAAAAATTACGAGTCAAATTTTTAATTATAATTTAATTATTTAAATTAGAATCATTATTTTAGTTATGTTGCGATATGCGTATTTATGAACACAATAATTTGCTTTGATTTTAAAATGAACAATTATACTTTATTAATAAAAGAGTTTAAAAATACAGAGATTTGATTTTATAGACATTTTCGACCAAAGGTCTGAGACACACTGATTTTCCTCGTTTCCCTCGGTTTTCGTTTTTCGTAACTCAATCACACACACACATATTATTATTACATGGCCTTCACAATCTTATCATTCGCCCAGTCCCTTCCAAATTCGCTAATTTATATTTCTCTCTCAAACATTCCGCCCCCTTGAAATGCTCACACCAAAAGTGAATAGCATTTCAATAAATTATGTTAATTAAATCACAGTCAAAATATATTTTTTTTTCACTCATCTATCGGCAATATACAAATCTTTGGTAGTGATCGTTTTACAATTCCTGCGCTTGTTCTTACACTCACCACCCTAACGAGTCCATCAGTTCCAGGATGGAGATCTTCGATTCGTCCCAATCGCCATCGCAGTGGCGGCAAATTATCATCCTTCAACAACACCATTCGTCCCAAATGCAATCTACTGTTATCAATACGCCTCTTCCACTTTGAACGCGACTGCATTTGCGTTATATATTCAGTCGACCATCGTCGCCAAAAGGATTGTTGTACTTGTGATAACAATTGAAAACGATTAACCCGATTAGTTGGAATATCCAGAACACTTTCTTCTAAAATTGAACTTAACGAAGTTCCGATTAAAAAATGTCCTGGAGTGAGAACGTTCATATCATTAGGATCCGATGATACCGGACACATTGGTCTCGAATTTAATATTGCCTCGATTTCTACAATTATCGTATAAAATTCCTCGAAAGTGAAAGGAGCGCCATTGATAACAGCCCTTAAATGCGATTTTGCCGACTTTACCGCCGCCTCCCACAAACCTCCCATGTGAGGCGAGTAGGGGGGAATGAAATTCCATTTTATCGAATTATCTGCAACGAAATTTAATATTTTGGATCTGCTCTCAGTTTCCGTCAACAAATTTGCAACAATCTTTTGTAACTCGTTATTCGCTCCAATAAAATTCTTGCCATTGTCCGAAGACAAGGACAAGCACTTACCGCGCCGAGCTATGAATCTTTTAAGTGCATTCAAAAATGCATTTGTTGACAAGTCTGAGACCAGCTCCAAATGCACAGCCTTAACCGCCAGGCACACAAAGACACAAAGATATGCCTTTTGGGTCTTGTTTCTAGAGATTTTGATATTAAACGGTCCTGCGTAGTCTATGCCAGTGTGCGCAAACGCTCGTGACGGTGTCACCCGTTCAACCGGTAAATTCCCCATTAATTGAATTTCATTTTTTGGCTTGATTCTAAAACACAAGACGCACTTGCGCAATACCTTCCGGATTGCATTTCTCGAAGACAATATCCAATACCTTTCTCGTAAATTAGCCAAAAGCAAAGATGTTCCCGCGTGCAAATTTTTATAATGATGATCACGTATGATCAATTCCGTCGTTACATGATTCGAAGATAAAATAATAGGAAAACGTTGGGAGTAGGATATGGATGCATGGGATAATCTTCCCCCAACCCTCAGCAAACCGACATCGTCCAAAAAAGGATTCAAAGATAAAATTCGACTATTTGAATCAATTGCCTTGTTCCTGCGAAGTTCACCTATCTCCTTGGAAAATTCTTCTTCCTGATGCATCTTCAATAAAACAACATCTGCCTTATTCAATTCTTCAGCTGATAAAATATCCTTATTTAATACGAATCCCTTAGCCTTTTTGAATGCATTTTCCTTGAACCTCAGACAATAAGCGGTGACTCGACGAAGTCTATTCCAAGATGAACATCTTCTCAACATTGAAAAATCTCGCTCTTGAACAGCGAACGTCAATGTCAATTTCTTCTCTTCTGGTACTTCAGGAATCACGAATTCATCATGCGGCCACGAATCCTCATCCTTCTGAAGCCACTCCGGTCCGTTCCACCAGATCCTTGCATCCATCAGCTGATTCAAATCTGCTCCTCGTGAAATCAGGTCTGCTGGATTCTCGTCTGTTCTTACGTGATCCCATTTTTCCAAAGGAGTCAATCGTTGAATCTCGGCTACTCGATTAGACACAAAGGTGTGCCACCTTGAAGGATCTCCCTTGATCCATGATAAAGCAATGGTCGAATCACTCCAGAAATAAACATCCTCAATACTGATAGTCAAAGCATCTCGAATCTTAGCATATACTTCAGCCAAAAGCAATGCTCCACATAATTCCAGTCGCGGTAGACTCACCGATTTCATCGGAGCAACACGAGAGCGAGCACAAAGAAGATGAGTTACGACGACTCCATCCAATCCCTCCGTGCGCATATAAATGCACGCTCCATATGCACTCTCAGACGCGTCTGAAAACCCATGAATTTGAATCTTCCTAGGTGAAGCAACCAACACATAACGTGGAATATTAAGATCCTTAATATTCTGCAGTTGATTGCAATGAAAAATCCATTTTTCAGCAACATCCCCTGGAATTGGATCATCCCAACTCAATTTCAATTTCCAGAGATGCTGCAAAAGAATCTTGGATCGCAGAATGAATGGTCCAATCAATCCTAATGGATCGAAAATTTGTGCAATTGATGATAACATCATTCTCTTCGTGATGAACCCAGGTTTAGCCTTGTAACTCGAATCATACTTCAATAGATCCTCCCTTGGCTGCCATCTCAATCCCAACGTCTTGATCTCCGTGATTTCGTGATCCTCCTGATCATGCTGTGGAAGATCAGCATTTGAATGGACTTTCTGCAATTTAAATCCCGCTGATGATAGGATTTTGTTAACATCATTTTTGATGTCAACAATTTCTTCTTCAGTATCCGCGCCGGTTAGCATATCGTCAACATAAAAGTCGTCCTTGATGACTCGTGATGCGTTTGGATAAAGATCCTGGTTATCATCTGCCAATTTCAAAAGACATCGCGTAGCTAAATATGGAGAAGCCGTGATCCCAAACGTTACTGTATTAAGCTGGTAAGTATCCATTGGTTGATCCGGACTCTCCCTCCATAAGATGCATTGGAGCCTTCGTTGACTAGGTTCCACCCAGATTTGGCGATACATCTGAACTATATCCCCTGTGATAACAAACCGATGTATTCTGAAACGAATTATAATATTAAATAATTCCTGCTGAACAATGGGACCAGTCAACATGCAGTCATTTAATGAAAGTCCTGATGATGACTCATTAGACCCATCAAATACTACCCTGGTCTTCGTGGTTGTGCTTGCCTCTTTTTGTACTGCATGATGTGGTAAGTAATTAAAGGAGCCCTTCAACATCGTGACCTTGGACATATGACCTTGATCCACATAATCCTTCATGACATCACTGTATCGTTCCTTTAATTGAGCATCTTTCTTAAAACGTCGTTCCATCATCAGTAATCGTTTCTCCGCACTGGCACGAGATTCTCCAAGTTCCTCTAGATTCGATTTCATTGGCATGGTGACCTCGAACTTCCCATCCGATGCTCGCTTACAGGTGTTTGTGAATATTGCCTCACACTCCTTCTCTTCTGCCGACATAATCTTAGTTGAGTCTCCTTCGTTGATGGTCCAAAATCGTTGCAGTTGCTGATTGAGTGATGATTCGCTTAAAAATCCACAAAACAAATCAGATTGTTTAGTCTTCCTCTCCGTAGATAATTGACCACCTAAAATCCATCCAAACTTCGTTAATTGTAATACCGGGTGTCCTTGACCTTGAAGGATTCGTTTTGGTTCTAGACAATCCCAGAATATAGAAGTGCCCAGTAGGATATCCACAGGTTGAGGTTTATAAAAATCGGGATCAGCCAAATGGATATGATCAGGAATGGATAATTTAGTAAGATCAATTTTTTTTGTTGGAATACATTGGGAAATATTATTTGTTACAAAGAAATCAGTTCGAAGCTTATATGCGTTAAGTGTTGATTTTATCGTTGCCGAGGTACAAAAGTTAATATTTGTCTGAGTTAAGTCTATTCCCGAGACTGTATGATTTACATTATTTTTCTTTAAATTTAATTTATTGCATAGATTTTCTGTCATAAAGTTCGCCATAGAACCATTGTCAAGTAACGCTCTAACTTTTATTTTTTGACCCGTATCATTTTGTATATATATTGCCACCGTTGACAATATTTTTTCACTTGTGTCCTTGTGTGCAAATAAATTCACAGAAACACCAGATTCCGAATTTACACCGCTCTGCCTTTCATTTTCCCTTAATTGGTGATTACTATTTGATTGAAAATTCCCTTGATTATCGAAATGCAAAAGAGAATGATGTTTATGATTACAATGTTTACATAAGCGCGTGGATCTGCAATCTCTGGCAGCATGTTTAATACCCAAGCAGTTAAAACATAAGTTTAATTCCTTAACTTTATCCCTTCTATTCTCGACTGATAAATCCTGAAAAGCAGAGCATGTATAAACCCGATGATCTTTGTGACACAATACACAATCAACCGAGTTTTTTCCCGTTGCCACATGAGTTAAAATTTTATTGCCTTCCCTTTTTGTTCCCTGATTAAAACCCGTCTTTGTCATTTCTGTATGAGGAGCCTTTGATGAAATAGCTTCCATCATCTGACACCGTGTATCTAAAAATTCTAAAAATTCAGTCAATTTTGATAATTTACTTGACACTACTTTTAATTCCCATTCGCGTTTTGTAATAATATCTAATTTAGTTGAAGCCAAATAAATTAAAAGGGTATCCCATGTGTCAACCGGTTCCTTCAATTGTTTGAGTATACGAGTATGTTTTTGCAATCCATCGGAAAGCGCGCGCAATGACCCCGCTATGTCTTTATTTACCTGCGGCAAATTAAACAATTGTTGAATATGATGTTGTATAATCAATCGAGAGTTATGGTATCGCTTTTTTAACAAATCAATAGCAATGTCATAATTGTTTTCCGTAATTTCAAACGCATTTATATATTCTTTTGCCTTGCCGATTAACGCGGATTGCAAATAATGAAATTTAGTAATAGTGTCCAGAGTTGTGTTCCTGTGAACCATCGCGTTGAAAGTATCAAAGAAGCTCTGCCATCGTTCATAGCTACCGTCAAAATTAGGCAACGTTATGATAGGCAACCGCGCATGCGACACTCCCACACTACTACCATTCGACAATATGGCTGATTCTGAATTTACACTGGCGGGTCTCGAGAGCTCCATACATTGGGCCTTCTTTCGCTTAGCCATGCTTAGCGTTGAAAAAAAACCATTTTCAAATTGTTCCCATTCTCGATTATCAATTTCGGTTGAGAATGCGTCAATTTCACCTTGTATTTTTTCAAATTCTGACCAAAGCTGCTCGAATTTTTCCAAACGTGATTCTAATTCAAAAAATGTTTCAGTTACCGGTACATAATTATTAATAAAATTTTCAAAACGCGTTGCCTTTGATTTTATGACTGTACGAATTTTCTTTTTCTCTATTAGTTCAGCCATCTTTGGTCAGATTTGAACAATTTGAATAATAGTAAAATAAAACTCTTACCTAATTACAGAAGTCAAAAAAACAATTATCAAACATACAATCACCCGTTAACAATCAGTACGAAAATGTGATGAGCCGCCGATGAATCTCCCTGAAGTCTCGAGTTGTCCTTGTTGAATTAATAATTTTGCGATAATTCTTTCCTCATTAAACCCAGTTGTCCTCAAATAAAATATTTTTCTCCAATAGTCGAATAAAGCCGTATACTCCAAAGTCGAAAATAAATTCCAGATAGTGTCGATTTTGCGATAATTTCCATTGATAATGTCCGTGTAATAAAAATTATTTGCTTGGCGTCATTTGATTATCGCCATGTGCTTGATGGCGTCCCTCAAAGCGTGCCTCGTACTTTGATAAAACCACAATTAAACAAAACTCATTGTGTTCACTCCGATTTAATTGATAAAATCCGTCTCGAAGGACCAAAATGTTGCGATATGCGTATTTATGAACACAATAATTTGCTTTGATTTTAAAATGAACAATTATACTTTATTAATAAAAGAGTTTAAAAATACAGAGATTTGATTTTATAGACATTTTCGACCAAAGGTCTGAGACACACTGATTTTCCTCGTTTCCCTCGGTTTTCGTTTTTCGTAACTCAATCACACACACACATATTATTATTACATGGCCTTCACAATCTTATCATTCGCCCAGTCCCTTCCAAATTCGCTAATTTATATTTCTCTCTCAAACAAGTTATAATTAAATTATTTTAAATTAGAGTTTTTATTTTAATTGTAATTTATTTTACATAATTTTAATTAAATAAATAAACATGCAAAATAATTAAATAATAAATATTAATAAATAATTATTTTTTTCTTCTAAAACAATTTTTTTAATTGATTCAAATTTAGCTAATTAATTACTTCGTTTGTTTGAAAATTAGTTGGTTCTCTAAATTTTTAGTTATTTAATTAATTAGTTAGTTTATTAATTAATTACTTAGTTCTTTTCTCTATTATCTAGTTTTTTTGTTAGTTATTAAATTAGTTAATTCATTTACTTGTTTGATTATTTGTAAATTAATTAGTTGTTCGATTTGTTAGTTAGTTTATTAATTGAATTCAATAAATTATTAATTAATTGAATAATTAATAATTATTTTGCTAATTTTTGTTAATTATTGAGTTTTTAATAGTTTTGTATGGTTTCGTATATTGTAATTAATTAATGTTTATTTGTTAATATAGTCGATACACTCACATTCCTGTTAATAGTAATAAAAATAGAAAATATTAAAATTTGTTTAATTAGGCAATTTTTTATATGTCATTAATTTTTTATTTAACATTTCTTCATCTTATTAAATTTATAACTTTTTCTGTTTCAGGTGAGTACCTCTTTCGTTAACGAAAAAATTTTCCTATTAAATGAAGTTGGTGAGTTTTTATAACAATTCTATTTATTTATTATTATAATTGAAAAAAATTGTTTTTTTTCATTTTATTAATATAGTTAGTAATTAGTAATTACCAAATTACACAATTATTATTAATTATCTAAATTGGAAAACTGTTATCAATTAATAAAATTAATAATTTTACAAGAAAAAATTATTAATAACTAATTACTATTCTCTCTAAATTTGAATTATTAAAAGTATTTACTAATTTAAATTCGTGAATGACTTGTTGCTTTTAAATTAGTAAAATTTACTAATAAAGTAGAAAATACTATTTTTTTTTTAAATTACTAATTCAAAAGCAAAAGTCAGTCACTGATTCAAGAAATTAAACATTTTTACAAATTCAAATTTAGAGATTAATAAATTATTGTTTATTATTAATCAGGTAACTAATTAGCCTTTAATTAACGTAAATAATTTTTTTTATTTTAAATGTAAAATAGAAACAAATAATTTTAAATAAATAAGTAAAAAATATTAATAAATAGAAAAATTATAAATGTTAATAAATAAAAAAAATTAAAGGCAAATAAAAAATAATTTTAATTACTTGATAAATACTTGATAATAAATAAAAATTAATAACTAATAAAAAAATTTATCAAAAAACACAATAATAAATTAATTTTATTTGAAATATTTTTTTATTTACAAATTAACAAAAGAATTTAACATTTGAAAAATTGTTTCCAAATGATTGATTCTTAAATATCTGCAGAACATTGTTAAATGAATTGTATTAAAATTTTATTGTTGTCGAATAATGAATTTTATAACAATTGAAATGTGAAATTAATAATGATAATAATAACAAAAATGAATATTTGAAATTCGCTGTAAATGAAAAAGGAAAAAAAAATTATTTTGAAGATGCAATTCGATTCAACTATAGTATTTTTTTTTTTTTTTTTGGTGGAAAAATAATGCATAATCTGAAATCGTTTAACTGTATCATTCTACTATGCGGTATGATATTGTTTTTTTTAATGCAGTTATTCGATAGCATCCGTGCTTCCGCGGAACGAAATAGACCATAGCGATTGTCCGAACTCGATTTCCCACGAGTCGCGGGGTTGTAGAGAGAGAGAGAGGGAGAAAGAGAGAGAAAAAGAGAGATTTCGAAGGAGGGAAAACAAATTTAGAGATATAGATAGCCACGTCCAATTAGAAAAACTGCGCTGCTTCGTGTGGCAAGTAATAAAAGTTGAAATGTGCTCAAGCAAATCGCTTTCATCCCTGTGGAAAAGGATCACGTTATTTACTTTTTTCCTTTCTTTTTTTTCTCCTTTTTTTTTGTTCTTTTGAAATTAAATCACTCTTACCTACACGAATTCGTGAATTTTATTTTTAAAAATAGTTGCCGAACATTTTCATTAATTTTTTATAAAAGCTCTTTTATTTCTTAAATTCTTCTTAAAGAAATAAATTTTCCAGAAATTAAATTTCCTAATATTTTTATTTATTTCCTTATTTAATTATTTAACTTTACTTCAAAATTTTTTAACCAAAACCCAATTTTATTTATTATAAAAATAATTTCTGATAGTTTTTTTTTTTAAAGGAGTTAGTTTTTTTAATTCAAAAAGGATCATTTTTTAATGAAATTATAAAGTAGCAAGTAGGGAAAAAAATTTAAGAAATCGTTTGAGAAGAGTTTAGTTTGATTAATTAAATTTTTATCGTCGAGGTGTAGGGAATTTTTGCGTTTTTTGTGGAGAAGTGCAGCACTTTTCACGGTGCGAATCAGATATTTATCTCTGCGACATTCGACAAATGGCATGAGAGTCTCCGAGGTTCGTACAACCACGATCCATAAGGGAAAACCTAATAAATTTTACTCCAACAGATCAGGTTGACTTTAAAAATCACAAACACTTTTTACAATTGCCTCATATCTAAATAAAGAAAAATGCATAATCGAACTTTCAAATTGTTGTAATTGTTATAAAAAACCAAAAAAAAGAGTCATTATCATTAAAGATAATTATATTAATTATTATCATTATCTCCTATCTCATTAAAGAAATGAATAAGACTTGTAAAATTAGAAAAAGGAAAAAAAAGTTCAAAAAAATGAGACGAAAATAATGTTTGTAATGAAGATTAGTGTGGAGGGTAAAAAATAAAGAACTCACGGCTTTGTTCATCGCTATTTCGTTATAATATAGAGTTTAATGAGGCAAATTTCATGTATACGCGGACTTGTGAAGGAATATGGCTTTTGCTTACAAGTAGAGGAGTAACAACGCTTCTTTGTAATGAGTTAGTAGGTGACATATTCCGTCACTGAGGATTAAACGCATAAAGGTCTTTGCACATTGTGAAGCCTATATACCTGTAAACCCAAGCCTCAGTGGCACACACGGGGTTGAAATAGGTTAGCTTGTCGTATTTACCTGCATAGTAGCAGGAAATGAACCGGTCTACAGACTGCAGGGCGCGGCTGACAACTAACGTGTAGAATTGTTTCTGAGCTTATGCAAGCATGAAGGCGTATGTTGTGTATGTGTAGAGTAGGCTTTGTTTGATGCTGTGTAGAAATTGGGTTCCGTTACTAACTCACATCTCATGATGAAGAAGAAGGAGGAAAAACTATTGTCATGCATTTTCGAACTAGAAGAAAATTTATGCCAGCGTTTTTTAATTTTTTGAAAAAACATTAAACTGAAGTAATGCTACAGAAAGATATTCAATGTTAGTGCCAAAAAAATCTCTAACAAGCAAAACATTTGGACCAAAAAAATTTGGACAAAACAAAAAACAGTCACCAAGTGGTGCTACAAAAAGATGTAAAATTAGTGCCTAAAAATCACCAACATCAAGAAGAACATGAACGAAAGGTTTGCCAGACATTTATTAAAACCAAAAGCAGTAAAATGGAGGAGTTTTGGTAAAATAAAACCCACATAATAAAGAAAAATTCGTTTTCTTTTCTATATGGGTTTTATTTTACCAAAACTCCTCCATTGTTAAGCAAACCCCCAACAAAGAAAATTACCACAAACAAGTCACGTCCCAAAAACAACACTGAACTGACAAATATAACAACAATATCTGACTGTTGATTCGCATTTATCCATTGACGAATCAGTGCGACCATAATCGATACGTGTCCACCGTATTGCTCTAGAATTCGAGAAACGTGGTTTTGGGGCGTATAACAGCTCTAGCATTCGAGGACCTATTTATTTGAATGGTTATTGGTGTGATAGCGCGTATCTGAGCATCGTGCATCACACACAACTCTACAGTTGTCATCCTGATTTTGTCTCTTCACCCCCCTCTCTTTCTATCTCCCTTGCTCGCTCACTCACTCCCTTTTCCATGAGTCACAAGCGCAGTATAAATGTATGCTCCAGGATTTCTGGTTGTCAGCGAATGAATTACCGAAGCTCTACTGCAACTGAAAAATGTCAAGATTAATAGTCCTTTTCAAGGGTGAAACATCCTTAGCAAGAATGCATGTCGTGAAGGTAGTTTGTTACTTGATATTTCCTAGTCTAATTTCCACAAAGGCTATTACGTACTTGGCAA